TTCTAGGACGTTCAAACTACATTTTTTCTCCTGAATTCAAAACACTATTATAATAGCAAAATGGAGGCCAGGAACACCTTCATCTTGGCGACTGGAAAAGTGGCACGGAAGATCGCCCATACGTATATCACTGCTTGAACTGTGATTCCTTTCGATATGGTACATGACAACGTACAATTCGAACGAGCCTTATGATGGCATTACACGAAGTGCGAGATCGGTGGCGACTTGGCTTGGTGGTCGTGGGCAGGTTCTTGTGTATTTGCGGGCGGCGTCGTGCTCTGTGCGGCGTCGTTCGTGGCGGCTTTGTCGTCGCCTGCTTTGGGAGGATGCAAGTGGTGAGGTGGCCGGACCATGGCCCGATGGATCGTCGCCTCTTCGATGGACAACGCCGCGGCTTCATGTTCCAGGACCTTGTAAAACAAGTCGTACCGCACTTGCGTGCCTTGGGTCTTGAACTGGAGCCGCACAAACGTGTTGAATTTGAGCTTGGAGAATTTGAATCCGTACGCAGCGATCGTGTGTCGGAGGACGTCGCGCTCGACGTACCGGGACTTGGTCGGGTCCGCCTCTTGCAGATCGGCCAGCATGTGGCGGAGCGACACGCCCGTCGTGTGGCAGTGGTGATGGATCGCGCGGACCATCCGGCGCTGTTGTTCGAGCACGTCGGTAAAGTGCTCGAGAACTTGCTTGAGTTCGCCAGGGCACACGCGGACGATGCCATTGATGAGGGCGAACTGCCGAATGATGCGGGGGCTGAGCAGGGTCATGTTGACGAGGAGAAGCGCGAGCTGGCCCACGATGAGACCGAGGGACCAGGCATGGACCTTGCGCACGAGGACCATGAACGCTTGGAAGAGGAAGCCAAAGTAGAACGCGTTCAGGGTCAAGCAAAACTTGGCGAGGACGTGGACGGCTTTGCGGCTAAAGAGGGGGAGGTCCAGGTCGCACGCGAGGTGCGGCGTTGGGTGTTTGCGACCCCATTTGGATCCCGTGATCTTGCGGAAAATCGTCGCGCACAGCGCGGCAAAGCTCGACTCGGTTTCGTATTCCGGGAGGTGTTCTGTGCGTTCAAAGAGCTGGAGGAGCGTTGTCTCGGTTGTTTCGTGCGGCGCCGTTTCCGTCTGTGCGAGGACCACGTGAAGGAGCGAATGTTTCTCTCGGGATCGCCTACCGAGTCTGCAATGTGCTTGAGCGCCGACACGAGCTGCGCTTCGTCGCCGCCGGCATGAACGACCATGATGGTCACGCACTTTTTCAAGTACGCGTACAAGAAAAGCATCATGGCTACGACGCATGGACGTGAGAGGAAGACGTCGAGCCAGAGAAGCGCGCGACCGATGAAGGAAGCACTCATCCACATCATGGAGAATCTCAGCACACACGACAACGAACGATGAACACGACTAGAGAGAAGGATGAGGATCCCACCGGTGAGCGCTGCGATGAGCATGAAGAGCACGAGCAAGCGGTTCTTGTGGATCGCGAGGTGAATGGTCGGGTCAGCCAGTTGGTCGCGATACGAAGCGAGACTGTAGTCGCTCAGCATGTAGTACAGCCCTTGGACAAGCACGAGGAGGACCCAGGTCGACTTTTCGACTTCGTACAGCTGGATGATCTCGGTGTCCTGGACGGCGCGGAGGTACTTGGCGAAGAGAAAGAGTCGAGGGAGTTGATACTGCCGAAGGAAGAAATCGCGCAGGATAAACATCTTGGTCGCCGACACGTACGGCTTGGCGATTTTGGTGGACGTGCCGTTTTCAGTCGCCTTGGCATAGAGCTCGGACGGGGTGAGGAGGGACAACTCGTCGAGCTGGACATTGCGCGCGCGAAGACGAAGGAACATGATGATCGATTGAATCGTGAGCGAGATGGCGAAGAAGAGAATCATGTCGTCCGTCGCTTCCCACGCCGTGTACTTGGGACTGTCCCGTTCGAACAGGCCAAACTCCATCAACCTCTTGCTGAGAAAGTTGATCAGCCCACCCACAACGAGCTCTGGATGACGGCGGAATGAGCTGTCCTGCTCGGCAAGGACTTAAAGCACGTACCGCGGTACATTTGAGTGACGAGCTTGAAGTACTTTGGATGAGGTGCAGCTTTCACCTCGAGCTGCGTCAAGAGCGTCTTGATCAGGACCACGAACGCGATCACGTACACGAACGAGAGGAGACTGCTGTACACAGGGAGCTGCAGCCCGATGTGGAAGAGGTTGTCCATTGTAAACGTGTCGCCCACGGCGGACGCATCCATGCCGGCCATCGCTCTGTCCGTCGCGAACGAAAGCCAGATGTGCGGGTCAACCAAACCTGTCACATTTAATATTCGGTCGCTCGGTCGTAATCTCTCGACAGAGTTGTCGGTCTACTTTGGCGTTTGGCAGAAAATCCTTCTCGTGAGTCCTGTTTCTGAGAACTGTCCTTCTCGCAAGTCCTCCATAACTTCGATCGAAGTTTTTTCGAAGTTTTGTTGAGATAAGGCAGTTAAAGAGTTAACGATGCTTCCGTTGCCCATGCCACCAAGCGACCTCGCTATGTCACCCGCCATCACGAGCCAACGTGAAAAGACCCCCCTCTCTGGCGG